ACCGCGCATAGCCCTCGGCTCAACAAAACTGAGTACAACAGCAACAACAACAACAACAACAACAACAACAACAACAGCACGAGAATACGACAAGTAAGTCAACTCAAGAGTTTTGGATCACAAAGAAGCGGTAGAACGAGCTCACAAAGAATAAACACAATAGGGAATACTATTCTCAATAAGAATGGCACAACAAGGGAGAAATAATATGTAACAAATGATTCCACATAAGGATGAGGCAATTACGATAAAGGATGACTAACCTTCATTTAGGGTTGAGCAATTATGAAGAGATGGAGCAAATTTAATTAAGGATAAGCAACGGAAAAGTTAATCATAACCTCAAGTAAGGATAGACAATTACAGAAGAGACAATAATGATTTTAATTAAGAATAAGCAATTAGGAAAGGATAGCATGGCAATCGAGCATGCAACAACTTCAGTTAAGGCACAAAAGAGTCAAATAGACAATAAAGGTGGAACATAAAGCAATTAATTCCAATTAAAACACGTAGAAGTGAAACTAGTAAATGGGTAACTTAACATAACAAAACAACTTCATATCTAATGAGCCTAAGAGCCATAACATGTCAAATTTCCACAAATAAGCCCGAGCACGTGCTTGTCACCTCGCGTACACAGACTTCACATGACACAATTAGCACCAAAAACTCAAATCCAAAGGGGTAGTTTCCTCCACACAAAGTTAGGCAATATACTTACCTCAAAGGAGCAAGACCGATACTCTAAAATGGCCCTCTCAAGTGAAACAACCTCTGGATGACTCAAATCTAGCCAAAATAACTTCAATCCATAAATAAAACTCATAGAAAACAATTCCGGATAATAAAGCTTCGATCTTTAACAAAAACTAAAAAGTCAACCCAAAAGTCAACCCCCAGGCCCGCACCTCGCAACCCGATAAAATTCATAAAACCCGAACAACCATTCCGATACGAGTTCAACCATCCTAAAATTATCAAATTCCGATAACGAATCGCCCTCCAAATCCTCATTATTCATTTTTGAAAATGTTTACAAATTTCCTAATGTTTCACTTTGATTCTCACTATTTTGATGTTAAAACTCAAATAAAATCATGAAGTATACACAAACATTGAACAAGGACACTTACCCAATGATTGTACATGAAATTGCTCTCTCAAAATCGCCCACTCTCGGACCTAGGGTTCTAAAATATCACAAAATGAAGCAAACACCCGAATTTCACAGCTAAAAACAAGCTGCAGATATCACAGGTGCGATCCAGGGTTCGCAATTGCGAACCCTCGCAAAAGAAAAGAATCATTCGCAATTGCGAACAAGAACAGGGCTGGAAAAGGTCGTATTTGCGACAAAATGTTTGCAATTGCGAACAGGACATCGCAATTGAGATAGAAATGTTCGCAATTGCGACCACACCAGAAACTAACAGTTTCCCTGACACGGAAATGAGCATAACTCTCTCTTACGATATTCGAATTCGACAATTCTTTTTTCTATGGCTCCATAAATATGATACGGATCTAATGGTTCAATAAAAAATGAATTTGGATCTCATTTGCTTAATATGGGACCATTTATTCTTGAAAAAAAGACGTCAAAGCATAAAAAACAAGCGCAACATAACCTAAACCTATCCGAAACTCACCCTAGCCACTCGGGACCTCATCCGAACATACCAACAAGTCCCGTAACATAACACGGACCTACTCGAGGCCTCAAATTATATTAAATAATGTCGTAATTATAAATCACACCTCAAATCGAACTTATGAACTTTCAAATCCTCCAACTTCCAAAATTAGTGCCGAAACATATCAAATTAATCCAGAATGACGTCACATTTTGCATGCAGGTCCAAATGACATAATGGAGCTAATCCAACTCTCTGAATCAAAATTCTACCTCGATATCACCCAAGTCAACTCTCGGTCAAATCTCTCAACCTTCCAAAAACTTTAACTTTTAATTTTTTGCCGAAATGCTTCAAATTATTCTACGGACCCCCAAATCCAAATTCGGACGCAAACCTAAGTCCAAAATCACCATACGAAGCTATTGGAATAATCAAAATTCTATTTCAGAGTCGTCTACACAAAAGTCGAATTCCGGTCAACTATTACCGCTTAAGCTTCTAAAACACAAATCCTTCTTCCACATCAATCTCAAATCACCCGAAGTCCAAACTCGGCTACGCACGCACGTCATAACACATAATACGGAGTTTGTCGAGACCTTAAGCCACCGAATATAGTGCTAATACTCAAAACGACCAGTCGGATCGTTACAATACAGGAGTATTCAGTTGTATTTAAAAAAATAGAAACCTTCGAAATACATGAATACATGTAAAAAATAATATATTTATACAAAAATATAATATATTTGAGTGAATTTGTACAGAATAAGAGAAAAAAGTTCATCGGAGATGGCGTTTTTCGGTGAAGCAAAATATTATATACATTGTATTAAAACTAAAAATGGAGACGAACAAAAACTCCGGCCCTCAAATCTTCTCTGGCGTAAAAAATATTACAGTATCCGTCATTCATGTTACCGTACCCATGCTCTACTCGGATTATTCCGACATCATTTTGTCTCCCCGCGCAGTGGACCAAGCCTCAGAGTGACGAGAGAGAAGAGAGAGACCACATTGATTAGAAGAAATATGTAAGAGGCCATTTGCAATAATCAAACAACAAAAGAAACTCTCTGTTACAAATTATCTCATCTGAATGAAGTTTCAGGGCATAAAATAGCTAGAGAAGATAGGTAAAAGGAAGAAACTCCAATATGTAGCTTCCATAAGAATATCTTCCATGTAGTTGCACATTATATAACATGAGATTTGAAGAGAGTGAAATGCAACATATTATCTCAGAAGGGAGAAGGAAGAGAGAGAGAAAGAGAAAAATTCTGAGAGAGAATCATGGTGTAATTGAAAGAAAGAGAGAGGAAAATCATAAATAGCGTATTTCATGCCTCAATTGTAGTATATACCATAAATACATATTTTGCTATAAAATATAAAAGGTAGTTATAGAAAATAAATTTTAAAATAATTTTGGTTTATAATAAATAAGGTATATACCTTTGCTATATGAGGTAAAATTTCCCTCTGAATATATTATCTTTTCAAATAGGCTTCCATTTCTTTCTGGATTTCTCTATATTCTTCACTATTGTTTCTTATATTCATCTCCTTGGTTTTGTTTTATTCGAAGAGAAGGAGAAGATTTTGATTTACAAATCTAGAAAACTTCAAACCAAAAATAAAAATGATGTTAATGAATACGAAAATGCGCTTATGATGAATTAATACTTTTTTACCCCTCTAGTAAAAAAGTAAAGTCATCTCCATACATTTCCGTTCGAGGTAAAAAAAAAAAAACATCTAGTACAACATTCTCTAACAAAAAGATGTACAACATTTAATTGACTTCATTTACAAAAGTCACTCCAAATGGTAGTGGCACATTGCAAATCAGTTACTACTTCTTTTCCTTTTTCTTCCGTTGCTCCCCGCATTCTCTGCATTTTCTCCTTTTCTTATCTTATTTTTAAATATTTTTCATTTTAATCCTATAAGTTTTTACCATGGTAGGACGTAGACGTACTTTTTGTTAACTCACACTTGTAACACTACTAGTGGCCGTAGGCCTGTGGTAAACACGGCCCCAACGCAATAAGTTAAAATATCCTTCTTAATCCTATGAGTTGTAATGCAAAACATTGTAGAATATAATATTTTCTGGATGGTATTTTAATTTTTGATTCCCGTTTGTCTTTACAAGCAAAATTTTAAGATCAAAAGCTAAAAGTGTTGCTCGCGAAAAAAAAATAAGAGAAAACACTTATTAACATGAAGTTATTACCATAGAACAAGTTGGAACAAAAATTCAAGACCATTTACTTTGAAGGCTATTTGTGTACTTCACCCGTAGTAAATCGTTTATGTCAATAACATAAAATTATTTCAAATTTTTGTTTCACACCATGTATTTTCTTTGTTTCCTATCTAGAGCTTAGTTTTGAATTTTTTATAAAAGTTTCCTAAATATGATCATCTTATACTTATTAGAATACTAGTTAGGATTAGCTCGGGCCCAATTGTTGAGCTCGGTCCCAATTATTGTAAAAAAATTCTCGTCTAAAATTGCCTCGAACAGGTAGAAATTTAGAATTAAAGAATCTATTGCAGTGAAACCCGAGATTGTTGATCAACTAACAATCAAATGCCTCTAATAATTTTGAGCTTTTGTGTTGTTTTTTTTAAATCTTTTAGCGAATATTGTTAAGTGATAGGTTCATTTGCATCTACTATTATTAAAAAGTTACTGATTTGCTTGTCCTCCAAAAAGTTTAGCACGCAATTTTATTTTTGTCAAGTTCGACACTGAGAATCAGTGGGAACGAGCTCAACCATACCTGCCATGGTGGGAGAGGAAGCTTCTAGAACTCAGCGAGAGAGTGAAATTATTGAAATGAAGCTCTACTTTTATTAAGGACAATACACAGTATATATATATATATATATATATAATATATATATATATATACACACACATGTGGCCAGCTGACTCTGCTAACTAACACTAACCGACATAACTAACACTAACAGTGCTTAACTACCTAACTGTTTAACTACCTAACTAATTATGAAAACTAAGTATTAAATAATATATCTCAATACCCCCTCCCCCCTCAAGTTGGAGGTGGTGAAAATACTGCCAACTTACCTAAAACACTAGAATGTTTGATGCCTGTGAGAACCTTGGTAAGTATATCCACAAGCTGATGGTCAGTTTGTAATGTGATGCAAAGAAATAAGGCCCTCTTGCAGTTGTTTCCTCACAAAATGGCAATCTACTTGGATGTGTTTTTTACGCTCATGAAATACATGATTCTTAGCTATGTGTAAGGCTCACAAACTATCACAAAATACTGTAATGGGATGAATGGAAGGAACTCTTAGCTTAGCCAGTAGCCTGCTCGACTAGACCAGTTCACCAATCACTTTTCTAAGGGAGATGTACTCTGCCTTTGCTGAGGATAGTGAAACAGTCTCCTGCTTTTTAGATTTCCAACTAACTGGACTATTTCCCAACAAAATAATGTACCCACTCATAAACTTTCTAGTGTCTGAGCACGAAGCCCAATTAAAATCGCAAAAAGCTCTGACAGACCAGTCTGCAGTATTGGACATGAAAACTCCCAAAGTAGGATCTCTCTTAAGATATCTCAGCAAGTGATAGGCTGCCTTCAGGTGAGGTTCCCTAGGGTCTTGCATGAATTGTCTCAAGTGTTGTACTCCAAAGGCTATATCCAGTCTTGTGTTGGTAAGAAAGTTTACCTTGCCTATCAGCTTTCTGTAAAAAGTTGGATCCTCTAATGGTTTGCCTTCCTTGGCCTTTAACTTTTCATTAGGATCGAGTGGTGAACTCAAAGCACTGTACTCCATGTAGTTGTACTCTCTCAGTAAATCTAAAACAAACTTTCTTTGGGAGATAATCACACCATCTGTCTTGTATAGAACCTCTAGACCTAAGAAGTAATGCAAGTTGCCCAAATCCTTTATCTTAAACTTATCATGAAGGAAAACTTTCAGATGACATATTTCCTTATTGTTTGTGCCTGTGAATAAGACATCATCTACATACACTGCCACATAAATCACTGAATCTTCATGTTGCTTGTAAAATAGTGAATAGTCATTCATGGTGTGATTGAAACCTTTAGAGCACAAGGCCTCAGTTAACTTCTCATACCACTGCCTACTTGCTTGTTTCAGACCATATAGGGGTATGTTTAATTTGCAAACTAGGGATTGGTATTTCACCATGAGGCCTGATGGAACTTGCATATACACTTCCTCATGTAAATTTTCATAGAGAAAAACATTGTTTACATTCAATTGGAACATTGACCAGTTATTCTTCACTGCAACTGCAATAAGTGTTCTCACTGTAGTCATCTTTACTACTAGAGAGAATGTCTCTGTGAAGTCTATACTTTCCTGCTGAGTATAACCCTTCACAACCAGCCTAGTTTTGAACCTTTCTATTGTGCCATCAGACATGTGCTTCACTTTGTAAACTCATCTACAACCTATTGCCTTCTTGTTAGGAGGGAGTGGCACTAGACTCCAGGTGTTGTTAGCATAGAGTGCCTCAAACTACTAGACTATAGTTGGCTGCCAAGTAGGGTTGACAGCATCTTCCTTAAAAGAAAATGGTTCACTATCACTGCAAATGTTGCTTACCAAAGCCTGACTATTAGGATTTATTGATTCAAGGACTATGTGGTGATGACTAGAAAATAAGGTATTGAGAGAAAATGAATATTTATCAAGAATAACTAACATTATGTACAAAGTCTTTTAGATAGGTAGGAGCTTTGTGTTCCCTTTGTGATCTTCTTAAAGGCTCAGAAGAGTGATATACTAGGAGAGAACTAAGAGAAGGAGGTGAGTATGAAGGAGAAGATGCAGAAGCATCAAGAGGAGAAGTTGAAAAGGGAGAAACAGAAGGTGAACAAGGTGAGGAAGGAGAAGCATATATAGGGTCAATAGGACAAAATGATCTTATATATGAAGAGTTGGGTGATGAATCATTAGTGGACACACTAGTGACATTGTCATGTCTAGTAGCCACAAGTTCATTATAGGAGACAGTATCAAAGAATGTAGGAAAAGGCACAGACACAGGCTTAGAGCAGATGTCAAAAGGAAATATAAACTCATGGATGATAATGTCTCTGGTAATGTGTATTTTCTTTGTTGACAAATCCAGAACTTTGTAACCTTTGACACCAAAAGCATAGCCCAAAAATACATGTGTAACTGATCTTGGCTCAAATTTGTTTATGCAAATCTTAGGTGTTGTAGGAAACTACAAACAACCAAAGCTTCTTAGCTGTGTATAGTCTGGTTTCTTGCCATATAGGACTTCAAAGGGAGACTTGTTTTGGAGATATGTAGTAGGTAGCCTGTTTATAATGTGAGTAGCTATTAGAACACACTCCCTCAATACTTTAAAGATAGTTTAGACTGGAAAAGTAGATCTCTAGCTGTTTCAAGAAAATATCTGTATTTTCTTTCTACCACTCCATTGTGTTGTGGTGTAAGGACAATTTCTTTTGTGGACAATCCCTTTTGACTGAAAGAAAATATTGGCTCCAAGATTGTTAAACTCCAATCCATTGTCAGATCTAATGGAATTGATATTGGTTTTGAACTGGTTTTCAACTAAGGAGATGAAGGCCTTGATTGCCTGTAAGGCATGGCTTTTGCATGCCAGCAACTGAGTCCAAGTAGTTCTACTATAGTCATCTACCATAGTGATGAAGTATCTATATTTGTCATGTGTGTATTCATGATAAGGTCCCCATAAATCTACATCGAGTAATTCAAAGACTTTGGAAGAAGTACTGACTTTTTGGGGAAAGGGTAGTCTGGTTTGTCTAGCCATGGGGTAGATTGTATATATGAATGGTTACTTAGGGAAAATTCCAGTAGGTATAGTGGAGATATCTTTTATTTTTATAAATGGCACATGACCAAGCCTATTATGCCATAAATTGTTCACAATGTTGGAAAACCAAGAATTAGATCCAGAGCAAGAGACATCAACATTCAAAGTGGAAGTATTAACAAATGAAAGGGAAAGGTGTTGCATTCGATTCAAATGTGACTTATTTACATATGAAAGTAAATGACATTGCAGATTATTCAAAATGGGACTATTTACATCACAAGAATGATCAGAAGCTGTAGTGAAAGAGTTGTTGTCTCTCAAACACTTGGAGCAAAGCAGATACAAGCCATCTCTTACTTTACCAATCTCCAGAGGCCTCTTCACTGAAGGGGCCTGCAGAAGACAAGTATTATTAGTAAAGGATGCCATGCTTTTAAGATGTTTGGTTAACCAATAGACTGAAACAATATTGAATTTGAAAGAGGGAACTAAAATGACTTTGTACAATACTATTTTTGATGTGAGAACAACATCACAAATCTCCGATACTTTGACATTATATCCATTAGGTAGGACTACTAGGAGAGCATAAGGTAAGAACTTGATGTTAGACAGTAAGGATCTATTAAAAGTCATGTGATTGGAAGCCCTTGAATCAAGTATCCATGTATCAATTTTGGATTCAAAGCATTTGCATGAAAGTTTTCCAAAATTAATGGAGGAAGTGCATACTATCATACCTGCAAAGCTGACAGCATTGACATTAGATGAATGTGAACTCCCTAGGGATCTTCCAGCATCTTCATTCCCCACATAAAACTGTTGAAGTAAGCTCATAAGTTGTCCATATTGTTCTTCAGTCAGGTTCACATTCCTTCAGTATCTTGGGTTCTGTTTTCATTTTCCTTAGTGATAACAACTTCATTAGGGGCTCCTTGTACATTTGCAATTACTCTTTTGCCTTTATTGTATCTAGAGTTTTGGCCATGGTTCTGACCATTTGGGAAATGCCTTGGAGTAAAGTTTTGAGCAGAATTTTGACTGTTCTGTGGGTAACCGTGCAACTTGTAACATCTCTCCTTACTATATCCTGGCTTTTTGCAGTAATCACATGTGAGCCGAGCTCTAGGAATGCCACTGTAATTGTTATTTGTTGGGAAATTTGTCTTAAATGAACCCTGTCCTGATGCATTCACGTTTAGTGAGAATGACTAAATAGACAATTGATTGGTTGGCCAAATCTCTCTTTGTTTCTCATCCTGAACTAGGAGTGAAAATGCTTGTGCTTTCTCGAACTACAGTGTAAATCTCATTCAATCCTAAAAGAAATTGTATCGATCTCATATCCTGCTCAGCTTTGTACATACTCTCTTTTGCACCACAATTACAGGTACAACTACATTAAGTCCTTTTGTTCAAAGTAGTAAGTTCCTCCCAGAGTTTCTTCAACTTAGTATAGTAAGCAGTAATATCAAGCGTACCTTGAGAAAGGTCGTTGATTTCCTTCTGAATTTAATACAGCCTAGCTCCATTAGTGTGTTCATAACGATCCTCCAATTCCTTCCAAAGTTCAACAACATCATTTGCATATTCTACACTATTTGCAATTTCCTTAGAAAGTGAATTTAGGATCCAAGACGTCACCATATTATCACATCGGTCCCATTGGCGAAATTGTGGCGACGAAGGATCTGGTTGTTTACACTCGCTGCTTATGAAAACTAATTTGTTCTTCAGACAATCCCCTCAATACACTTCTCCTCCAAGACCGGTACCCTATTCCGTCAAAAGCAGTTGAAACGAGCATAACTCCCGGATTGTCAGATGGATGAAGATACAGAGGATCTCTTGGATCAATCCTTGTGCTTGTCACAGTAACAATGGCGGTAGTTTCCACTCCAGTCGAATTGTCTTGGTCGAGAACGGCCATGATTGAGTGAAATTGATGAAGAAAATAGAGGAATTCAATTATCACAATTTCTGGCAACAATTCACTAACGAACAAACGAAATCCCCAAAAAATAGGGCAAAGTTTGAAATCTAACAGAATCGAACAAGGAGACGGATCAAAAACAAAGATGCAGGGGAAGATAATGTACGGGATTAACCTCGCTCTAATACCATGTCAAGTTCGACACTGAGAATCAGTGAGAACGAGCTCAACCATACCTGCCATGGTGGGAGATGAAGCTTCTAGAACTCAGCGAGAGAGAGTGAAATTGATGAAATGAAGCTCTGCTTTCATTAAGGACAATACACAGTATATATATATATATACACACATGTGGCCAGCTGGCTCTGCTAACTAACACTAACTGACATAACTAACACTAACAGTGCTTAACTACCTAACTGTTTAACTAACTTACTAATTATGAAAACTAAGTATTAAATAATATATCTCAATAGTTTTGATTTTCAATTGAATAGTATATCTCAACTATTTTTATTATAATACTCAAATTTAAATAAAATAACTTCAGCAATATGTTATCTAAGCATATCTAACTATTCAGCAAAGTAGTAGTATATAGTATACTCTAGTTGGCTGGTCATCTTAGTAGTAATGTTGCCATTGTCCCGTGATGATTAAATAAAATAAATTATGTCAATTCTGACACATAAATTTTTTTACCCAATAAATTATATTCTACGTTTTTAAAAAAAAATTCAAAGTATGTTTGTTTTTCATAAGATGCTTTTGTAGAATCTAATTTATATATGAACTATACGGTAACTCTTAAAAGATAAATTTTATGAAGTCATGATTGACTGTCGAAAGATTGATTTATGAACAGATTGCTTAACATTGATATATAGTTATCATGTATATAAGTTAATGCTCAATATATATACTTTTACTATCACTCTGTTAGATGATATTATACATTCTTCATCCATCATACTATCATTACTCTTTTGTCCTATATAAGTTATAATTATACATTGTTTGAAAAAAAGAATGAGTCGTTTCTTTCCAACAAGGGAACAGAAGAGTTTGACAGTTTTCCGCTCTAAAACCCTTCTAATACAAGTCACTTGGTATATATCCAGGCAATGTATTTGTTGCTCTGAAATCTCAGATACTAATTTGGGTATAATGAGAAATTTATTTCGAATCTGCTTGGTTTTTTTTAACGTGTTTGATTGAAGTTAGATTAGACTTTTTTTAGTTGACTGAATTTGAATGATCCACGTTTAGTTATATTCGGATCTCTTTATATTCATTTGTTATCCCTTAAGTTTAGTTCCATTTGAATTTTGTTGCCAGTGGTTAAGCTTTGTGAGTCGATTTTGAAAATGGTTAACTGAAAACTTAAACAGTGGTGTTTTGATCTAAATGGTTTGTTTAGTTTTTTCCTTTACTGAATTTCTCTGGTTTTTTCCTTTCTTAAAGTGGTATAAGCGAAGCTCACTCTCACAGGCCTACGCGATCGCGAAGCACAAAACACGTGACCTCTACTTCTGCTCTACTTACTCTACGCGAACGCGACCTTCT